CTTCGATGACGGATCGATCCGTTTTCTACTGGGTACTTTTGTTTATACTTATACATATGCATAGAGAAGTGCACTTTACTCGCATAACCTCATAAGAAACCAGTTTAGGTTTATTGACAGCAGCACAAAAGGTACGCTTACACTTACGCTTACGTCAATAACAAAAAACGAGTATCGATACAATAACAATAACAACAAAAACATTATTCTAGCGCATAGTCGTCTGTCAAACCGACCGACTGACTGTCCACGAGCTTATAGAGGTGCAAAAATTATGCAGGCACAAGAAACAAAGCAGTGCGCTGTGTGGAACGCCTTATAGGTTAAATCGCTCGGTTACTCATTCGCTGTTCACCGCTAACACAATGACTGCAAAATGCACGTTTAAAAATGTAAATAAAAATTGGAAGAGCCAAAGCCAAAGCCAAAGCCAAAGCCGAACATGAAGCAGGAAGTGAACCCTCATTGCACTTTTAAGTACTTTATGTGGATTCTTGGGAATATCTCTTCTTTGACTTCTTTCCAATCCAATTCTATTCCAATTCTAGTTTGTGTAATTTTATATTAATAATTAAATGAAATTGATTTAAAATTTAAAACAGATTTCAAATACATCAATACCCTATATACTTCATTCAGGACCATCATCATTTATATACAAGAATAAAATAAGATAATTAAAGATTTTGACCGCTAATTTAAAGGAAGGTATCCTTGATGTATTAATCACTGAATTTCGAATAGTTTTTTTAATTCTTTTGGTGCCCCTTAAACTGAAGGTTTTAATCTACATTACCACAAGTCGATTAATATCACTGAATCAAAAGCAATTTACTCACAATCATGCACTGTTTTTAAAGTCGGTTTTGTTTTTTAAGGAATTTTAGCTTTTATGTCGTACGTTACTTTATATATATATATATATATTTATACGTATTTCGGCAAATTCGCTTTTGTCTTCATCAAGTGATTTCCTAATATTCAAATTTTTATTCGATTGCGTATGGGACCTTCGAAATTTACTCATGAGTTCTTTTTTAGTCGCAATCAACTGTCCATTTTGTAATAACCCATTATCCATAGATCATAGATACTTAATAATTATTCTATTTTTCGTAATTCTATTCGTTATAGTATCTTTTCAAATATTTTATGTACCAGCCTATTAAAAACAGTTACTATAAACATACTTTTGATAAACAAATGTATTAAAGTCTGTAATTTACCCAACAAAATTAATTTTATTATATCTGAGCTGCAACCCCAGACTGCAAGTGATCGTTTTCTTATTTTAGTTATAAGATTTTATAGTTTGGTGTTAAGTATATTTAATAAATTAAAATAAATAAATCTTTAAGAGCGTCAAAAATAGTATAGAACCAATTAATTTAGAGCGCACTCCTGACTTATGAAAATTTGAAGATATAAATCTACACACACCGAAGATATCATTTTTATTCCTCATTTGATAAAAACAAAGTTCCACATAAGCCTATTGACTCATTGTGTTATCGTATAAGAATTTTAGAGATTTAAAAACCTACTTTGAACCTTTGGCAAAACTTAAAATGCTCTTTAGAGGAAGGAATTGGAAGCCTGGGATTGAATAAGATCCTTAAAAAAAGAAAGCCACTAAAATAATAAATTGGCGTCGCGCTGGCACTTGACAAAGCATTTATCATGCACTTTCATCGTTCTCTTCACAACTGCGACGGGAATTATTTAACGGAATATTCAGCTTTCTAGCATGGTTCCATGATCGGTGGTATACGATCCGTCAACAAACCTACCATAAGAGTGATATCTTTACATGGCATGTTAATGAGAATACTGGATTGTTTCGTAAAAGAATGCAGTCCACTAACATATAGACGCCTACATATCGTTAAGTCTTCTCTACTTTTATTTAGATAAAGGCAAAATAGAGACAAAAATTTTGTAATAATTCTACATCGAATTAAGATTTAGTTATATAGACTAAATTGGAAACTTAAAATGAAGTGGAGTCTAAAAGAAAGTGGTAATGAAAAATTTAATAATAATCTATAACTCATATTAACACAGTAGGGTGACTACTTAAGGCCAAATTTAACCATAATCTATAACTAAAATGATCACAATATACCTACCATTTAAGATCGAAGTAAGTTTTGTGTTGTCACGCATATTTATCGGTAAAACAGTAAAATTTTCGAGTAAATTGAGGTAAAGTAAATAGATATTTCCTAGGGATTTTTTGCACTGCTCACTTATGTAAATATTTATTTATTGCACTTATTTATTATTTTTGATTAAAAGTTTTCAAATTTATTTATTAAACATCTTATAAAATTTTTACAATGGTTAGGTGTTACCAATTACCTAATTTTTATTTAATTTACCCTATTCGAAATTCTGATAAATACCAACACACGCTGCCATATCGACATAATTTATTATTTCCCTCAATTTACTCGAACGCGCACACGGCCTCAAAGGCGATTGTGATTCTATTTTTTGAAAGACCCAACATATTTTTAAGTAAATTCTATAATCTTCTACTATAATCAATAAAGTAGTAGAATCAATACAGTTCATTACGTTTCATACAAAATCTTAACCTGACATATGTATAGTATATATATAAGTATATAAGGTATAGAGTTCCACTTACCTTTTAATAATATTTTCCTTGACCCATTGATATAAGTTTTTGTAGTAAAAAAATTTCCTTATATTTTGCTGGGATAGCCTTCACTTAGTAATTTAAATTCCAATTAGAAGATTTCTTATTAGCTACATGAGTTTTGTTGTTGTGTTGTTGTTTTGTTGTGCGTAATCTCGCTGCGAGGGACTTGCACTCATAAAAATGCAGGGTCGGTATGTGGTTTGGGCAGGGAATAAATAATTCACATTCACTATTTTTAGATGAAAAATCCAAACCAGTGGATTTTTATTAAAATAAAATGGAATTAAAATAATATTACTAATTAAAATTAATAATAAAACTAATTTTAAAATCTGCGTTTATTTCAAACTTCAAATCGCGAATTCACTTTGTCTGCAAATTTGTTGATTTTGATTTAAATTTGGCAATCAAAACTCGTTTCGCGCATGCAACACGGCAACAATTAATTTTGAAATAAAAAAATTATTAATTTTTACACTTAATAATTTGTAAATCTATTGAATTTACTTTTTATTTTTGCTTTGCACAAATTTTGAATTGTGATTATTTTTAAAAACCAATCAACAAAAACCAGATTCGTTTTTTTTGTTTTTTGATTTGTGTGTTTTGTATTATGAAACCGAGCCAAGCGGCGCTGACGATGACAGTTTACAATAAAAAAAAAAAAACAGAGAACAATAATTACAGCATCATTCACAAATCACAACTGTTGCACAATTCATCGCCGTAAGAGTCAACAACAACAATAACCGAAATCAGCAATCAGCAAAATTTATTTAAAAACCTTTTTTGATTTATTCAATCTTATTTTATTCAAATCTTTTGTAATTCAAATCGTACGTACATTCACAAACATCAAACAAATATAAAACATTTGACAATTTTGGTACACAAAACACAAATATACACGCTCGACAGTTAAACAAACTCGACGACCGTTCCCTTTAAGCGTCTAATAAGCTATGAGATGAAACAGCGTTGAGAGAACTCCACAAGCAAGCAAGCCAACAGACGGCATGATACCAACACACACATTTTCACACAACACACTGGCAACATCACAACAACAGCACCAACAACAACAAACATGTTCTGTAAAATTACTCATAAACGTGTTTACAACAAAAACAGAAGAACAAACATAGAACAAGTACATTTGTTTGTTGTTCCAAAGGGAGAAGCGAAACTTCATATGTTGATAAAGAAATATGTTTCTATGCATATATGAAATGATCAACATGCTGCTTATATTAGCAACATTCATTTTACTACACTGAGAAGTTTTGTGCTAAGAGTTTTTAGAACACAACAAAATATTGAAAGAAGTTTTTAAAGAATTATTGTAATGTTTCTATTTTTAGTACAATTGAACTTTTAAATACTGATAGAAGATTTTTAGACATGCAATATTATATAAGGCTTTAGTGGATGAAGGGATGGATTTTGCTGCATATTTGTGGAGCTAGGTACAATAGTCTAAACATAGCATAAAAATGTAAAAAGTGTCACTTTTTATTCAAAATCAATACTTGTAAGTAATAATTGTAAGTATTAATATGTATAATGGAAGTAGAAATACCTTAATTCGAGTAATCACTTTATCATCAACTGTAAAATGTAGATATAATTATTATAAAGGTACTTATGCCTTTGTACTGTTGCAAAACGCTGCGATTAGTTTCCACCAACTGGAATTCAACTAGTATTAAAAGAAAGAGTTCTTCCATTTATTATTATTATAATAATTTCCATGGTGGATTATTTACTCTCTTGCTAAGAGTATGTTATATTCTCTTTATATCATGACTTTTGTAGCAACATTCTTCAAGTTAACTTATTACATCTTAACTTGAAACAAACATTACTCTTTTAAAAATGATTCATTGAAATTCTTTATTCTACTTAAAAAATATATACAAGTTTTTTGATATGGGATCTTTTCTTTTTTGAAAATGTCGACAAATAAATAATGAAAATGCTCTTCACCCTTTCTTAAAAACTGCAATAGATTCTAACTTATTTAGTATATATAAATGCTAGATATTATCCTATTTAAATGCCTTTTACACCAATCTTATAAGTATCACCAGCTGTAAAAGTCTTAAAACTTCTTTATGATTTTCCGACAACATGGATGGTCGTACACACGACCGAAAATCGAAGTGCACTTAGAGAAAATGTGATCAATAAAATTTTACCAGGCCATTAAAGCACATTTAACAACAATGTACATAATCTTTATAAATGTAGTGAAGTGGAAATTTCAAAAATCTTACTGTTAAATGTAAAAGTTTGAAGAAATTGAAAAATAATAAAATTTAGTTTCATTAAACAGCAGTTGTGCATGCGTTACTTTAACAAGTATTGTAAAAATCTATAGCCTGTTTGTATTTGCGTTATAAACCACAAGATACACAAGATAACCGATTACTCTTTTCAACAAACACAGTATAAAATGACATCACTAGGCTTGTGACATTCAACAACATTGTTTCGCTAATTATTTGACAGCTGAGGCACATGTGAAGATTTGTTTTGTAGGAATTGAAATTAACAATTGTTGATTGACTTGTTTGTAATTTTATAAGATATTTAACATTTATTAAATAAATAAAATGGATGGAGATGCGCCGCAAGAACCAACGATTGATTTTGTGCCTGCGTTGTGTTTTGTACCGCGCGGTGTAACAAAAGAACGACCAGAAAAAGTTGCTTTATCACGCAATGAACTCGAAAAGATAATAAAGGACGCTAAGGAGCAGTTAGGTGGCGGAGATGGTGACGGCGACAACGATGACAATGACACAGATAACGAGAATAATGCCAATAACATGGATGTAGATGACGTAAGAAACACAAATGAAAACAATGATCCCAACGACGAATTCAATTTCGATAACTACGAGCAGGAAGAGCAAGGTAATTTGGCTAGTATTGCAACCATTGTAAATGCAGATCAACAAATAGCTGATGAAGATAACGATTCTGAAGCTGAAGATGAGATTATAAAGTCAACAGATAATTTAATATTAGTTGGGCATGTACAAGATGACGCTGCCTCGATGGAAGTGTGGGTATTTAATCAAGATGAGGAATCTTTGTATACACATCACGACTTTTTATTACCAAGTTTTCCACTGTGTATCGAATGGATGAATCATGATCCAGGCAGTAGTAGTGCAGGTAATTTGTGTGCAATTGGTTGTATGGACCCTGTTATCACAGTATGGGATTTGGATATACAGGATTCGTTGGAACCTGCATTTAAATTGGGCTCTAAAGGCAGTCGTAAAAAAAACAAACCTCGCATTGGTCACATGGATGCTGTACTAGATTTGTCATGGAATCGCGAATATGAACACATAATTGCCAGTGGTTCAGTTGATAAAACTTTAATACTTTGGGATTTGGATGAAGGCGAGCCACACACAACTATTACAGCATTCAAAAATAAAGTCCAGTCCGTAGAATTTCATGGTACAGAAGCACAAACTCTTTTAACTGGTTGTGCTGATGGATTGGTGCGTATTTTTGACTGTCGTGATCCAGAAATTATCAACACATCGTTCATTAAATGGAAAATCAATGGTGAAGTTGAAAAAGTACTTTGGCATCCAACAGAAACACATAATTTTATAATCGGTACAAACGACGGCAGTTTGCATTACGCGGACAAGCGCAGACCTGATTCATTTCTGTGGTCATTAAAAGCGCACGAGGAGGAAATATCTGGCGTTTGCTTCAATGCGCAAAAACCAAATTTATTGACCACCAGTTCCACAGATGGAGTGCTTAAAGTCTGGAACTTTTCCACGAGTAAAATAGATGAAGTTCATTCACATGATTTTGAAATGGGGCGGCTACAGTGCATGAAGCAGTGCCCAGAAGATCCCTATACGCTGGCGTTAGGCGGTGAAAAACCACCACGTTGCCGCATCTACAATATTAAGAACTTTGAAACGGTGCGCAGAGTATTCGACATTCCAGATGCGATATAACTGACACAACATTTGACAGATGCATTGCAGCACGTTGGCGTTGGCTTATAGTGTATTATTCCTTATATTGCGAAAATATAGTTTAATAAACGTAAATGTCTGTAATGTAAAATTTTGTTTTATTTTCTTATTTTATAATTTAATAAGTTAAACTAATTAATAAAAAGTACTTAAGCTACTGTCTCCTGGGCTTCCGTTTCGTCATTGATAAATTGCACCAGCACAATTTCTTCGCCACGCAGGAGAATCTGACTACAGTGTTTAGTTACTTGTACATTCTTTCTGTTGAGGCTTTTGACTTTCAGTTCCGGCAGTTTTATGCCTAATGCTTTTAGTTCTTTTGTGCAGTCTTTGGATTTACCCATTGTGTTGTTTACGCCGTATTTATATTTTCTACGTTGCCAAACAACGCAAACGTCCACCAGCAACATATTCCAATGTTTATCGAAAAATTTTAAATGTCCTTCAATGTGGCCACGTACGCCATGCTCATTTCTAACTTGCACTTTCACATGTTCCCTGCTCTGCGACAGAGACGTATGTAGACGCTGCAATGGGCCGGTCAGTTTCTCCATGTGCGTATAGATATTTCTTAAGTGACGTTTGTACCTTGTGTCTGTTGATTGTATAGCCATTTGATGTGGTTCGAACCGGCGCTCAATTGATGCAGCTTCAACAACTGCAACTTTAGTAGGTTTGGACTTCTTCTCCGCGATTGTGCGCTGCTGTTTCTTTACCTCTTTTAACATGTTGTCACAACCAAAACGAGTCAAAGCACTTTCATAAGCCGCAAAATTTTGGAAGATGATTTTTGGCTGCTTCTTGGCTACCTGAAATTCTGGTGTATAGAGAGCGAGCTTTGAATCGAAGTGTTCGCCTACACAGTCCAAAGCAGTGCCTGTTCCCTCATGTGATTGCCACTTGACTGTGCCGGCTTTTGTTTTCTTTTCGGTCTCATCTTGATTTAAATTTGTAATTGATTTCGATGTACTGGGTTGGCAATCTTTATCCATATATAAATCGTATATGTTTTATATAATTTATTTCAGCTTAAAAACTGAGTCGATATTATTGTTTATTTGGTATTTTAAGTAAAGTTCAAACAGCGCGCAGCAACTAAAAAATCAGCTGTTCAGAAGTTGTGAATAGTGTTGGTAAGCGGTAAAAGTTTATTTTGTATATTCTAATATTTCTTCACTTCAGTATGACCTCTAAAGAATTTTTTACATAATATAAAAACAATATTTTCTTGAACAATCTGGTTTGCCATTTTTATGATATCATTCTGTATCTAAAGTAAAGTCTTAATAGTACATTTAGTGAGAATAACTTGCGATATGTGTTCCTATAGCCTTTATTAAAGTAGTTCATTTGATTTATGCTACTAATGAAGTCAATTAACCTTACCAATTGCTTTTGTGCTTTCCATAGTAAAGTTATAAATCTATAGAGTTAGTTAATAATAAATCAAGGGAAATTACGCCGAAAATGTCAAATTCACTATTGCAAAATATGACATATTTGACACAGATACCGACAGATAAAAGCTACTTCACTTGTAAAAATCAACTTATGTCAATGAAAACAACCGAATCTTGATCTGATTAATATAAATTTATTTAGTTGCAGTGGGAACATGATATTACTGTGATAAAATCACATTGATTGTATAATATAAACACGTTAAAAAACCGCTCAATATCCACAACTGAACAGCAAATTGTAGAATCTCTTTTTTTCCAATGAGTACTGGGCATCTAAACCCAGGCTAGAATTTAGGGAAAATATCTTTAAGGAATTGAATAAAAAAGTGTTGTAGTATCAGCCTTGAGGGACAGAGTTCTATATGTGGTAATCCAAATTCAACAAAATCGGAAGGATTAGGAGTAATATATCAAGAAGAATATGGAAAATACATCGGAAGCGGATAAGAATATTAAAATGATTGGTAAATTACAAACGTTAGGCATAAATATTACATCCGGGGTTATCTTGATCTCAGTTAAATAGGGGGAAGGAAGCGATTAGAGAATCGTTTTTATTCAAGAAAAATAACTTACATTAGCCATTCATATTTAAATATATATTATTTTTGAATATAAGATTTTATTGACTAAATTAAGTATAAAATTGAATTTAACATATATTTTGTTACTTGAAGAATTGTAAGACGTACAATTTTGCTGCAAACTTATTAGCATTCATTCATTGTGCAGCGGCGTCTCTTAGTCATACGGCTTGGGCAAGCTTGACCGCCATGCTTTGGTTTACTAATTACATAACGATAACGCTCGGAATAGCCTAAACCGCAGCGCACACTACACTCAGACCAATTTGACCAGTCGGACATAATGCAACCCTCAGGAACCATCTCGTCCGATTGCGTAGTAGTTGTAGCTGGGCGACTGGTTGTAACAGTTGAATCTAGAGTCAAAGCAGAGATGCAGTTTTTATTTTATTATATTCCTCACACTTCCTCATACTTACCCAACATGCCGCAAGTATCAATACAATTTTGCTCAGATAAAAAGTTATTACGGTTTCCACGGCAGCCACCATAAATGAAACTGTGGCATTGACCGCTGTTAGCATCATATGCAAAACGTGTGTAACTGCCACGACAAGGACCAGTATCAAAACGTTCCATACAAATATCTACGTTGGACAGCTTTATTAAATTATTTGTTACCAATTTGTTACTTCAAATTTTTTCACCTTTAGTCGTTTCCATATTGAAGACGCAGTCCTGTTTAATACTGCATTCCTTTTGTTGATGCAACTCCATGCGATTATTACATTTCTCCTTTTCTGCAGCATCTTCCATCAGGAGTAAACGTGTACGTATTGTAACGCCGCGACCGCAAGTCGCTGTGCAGGGACTCCAATCACTCCACTGTGTAGTTGGGCACATAGGATCTGGTAACTCTACTTGCTCGTAAGTACAATCGGGACGCATGCATTTTTGTTTTTCAACTACGCTCACATGTGGACAACGTTTTCGACCCAAATGATTTGTAAATGTGCGGGTACGCATTGTTATGCCAATGCCACAACTAGCAGAGCACTCAGACCAGGGAGCCCATGGAGTAGTCTTACAAATGCCAGCACCTTCGCCGTCGTCACTTACAAGGCTTTGACTTTTAGCTAAATTTTCACCATCGTCGTCATCCTCTTGTGCACTGTAGAATACAAAACCAAAAATAAGAAAATTGGATCGATTCGATAAATTCGATATATATGTAGTACTATAGTACTTACCCAGCTCCACATTCCGGTATATCGGCGACACACATTTCTTTAGAAACAATTTGTCGTGTACACTTTAAAGATTCTGCCAATTTTGGATTTATGTATTGACGCGTGTGCATGCGTATACCTTTGCCGCAAGTAACAGAGCAAGGACTCCATTCACTGTATTCAGTTACACGGCACTCAGCTGTAAAAAAAGAAGAAGTATTAGAAGTATTAGAATTGGTTCATTGCTTAGAACAAATTTCAAAAAATTTTTAATAACTTACAGCGTATATCCTGTTCTTCTACATCGTCGGAGACATCTAGTTGTAGAGCTTGTAGGAAATCGTCATCACAATTTCGGGAAATTATTTTCTCACGCCTGATATGAAGTTTGGCCAAAGGCGTCATTTCTTTACTGCTTGGATTATAGAAAGGTGCACGTGGATCTTCTGGATACATTGTTGTGATGCGATACATGCGTTCACGTGGTATTGTTTCTGAGTTTGGTGACTAAAATTAAAAACATGGAGGAGTTCCAAAATAAAAAATTTGTGGGTAAACCATATACAAACCATATATGTAATGCCACTATCAGTGCCGGCATCCCAGGGATATAAATCAAAATCCAAAGACTCTTGCCAGCTGCAATCATCTGTGCATAAATTCACACCACTAATACCAACGACCCAGTCGGGTGAAGGACCTGTGTATAACATATCTCCCTTTAATATATTTTAAATTGTTAAAATTGTTTAAATTCATACCGAACATTGATGCCAAAGATACTTTTGGATGTTTGCGGTCCACACGGAATTTCGAACTGGTATTTGAATTAACATTTGGGTACCATAAGCCAGGTGCTTTTATCAAGGTACGTAGTTTAGGTCCTTTTACACGCAGTTCGGCTTCTAAAGCTGAAGGAGAACCCCATTCGGCCAATGAACGGAAACCATCTGTGGCAATATGATTTTCACCCCAGAATGAAAAGTTAGACTCATGTGAAGCACCAATAACGTCAGAGAAATGCGTCAACCAAATGGCAAATGGATAATCCTTGGGATGTGTTTCGTTAGACCAAATGCCCTCCAAAACGAACTATGGTAAAATAAAAGTTATTTGTAGTGTAAAGGTGGAATAAAAAAAGGCTCTGAACAAACATTGTATTTAGCTTCATCGCAGGCACAACACTCTTTTTTAAGTGTAGTTGCATCTGGTTTCTTTTCACATACAACTTGTGTCAGTTGTCCATCGTCAGAGTACCAGGAACGTGGTGCTTCATATACCATAGCAGATAATGAGACACAGCCTGAACCTGCAGCGGGTGCCACCCACATTACTTGTATTTCGGTCTTGGGCAAATCATCTGCCTCTGAGACAGTATTAACGCAACGATCATGAAACTTCGTTAGTGAATCACTGAATAGTTGGAAACGCCCAACACGCTGTGGATTTGCCGGTTGAGGACGTCGGGCACCAGTGTGTGCTTCTGCAGTGATTGTAAAATGACTGAAGTGTTGAATTTTGGCATGCGTACGTGAACCGAGCAGTAACACTAAAAATAAGGAATAATTAATTATAATTAAATAAACAACATTGATTAAAGAAGCAAGATATATGTGAATAGGATACATTAGAGAGAACCTTTGCAAGAAAAGTTAACTGGTTTTATAGTTGTGAGAATAACACTTAACTACAAAGATTTTTGGAATATAGTAATGAAGCAATATACATAAGGTTGTTAAAATTTCGCAATTTCAAAATATTTGAACCTATAGTATCGTAATGGTAAAGTATTCCTCTCCAGCAGAACAGAGTTGAGATTGTAGGTGGGATATTTAACGGGTCACCATGGACTGCGTTATCACCTTAATAAAAGGAGTCTATCCGAAGAGATGGAGTGTCGACTCTGCTTGGTAAGCAGTCGAGACTTCCAGTCACATTCTCTGTGACTGGCCAGCCTTGATCTGGGCCAGGAGGAGGTCATTGGGAGGAGAGCTGCTCTCCCCTTCTGACATTAGGAGGTCCTCAACGGCCGACATTCTAGCCTTCATTCGGAAGGCGGAAAGTTTTCTCTTCGGTTAGGGTCTGTTGCAGCATAAAAGATCAATCTGGTCGCAGTGCTCCGCTCCGTTGAGAGGTAATCACCGTTCATACCTATTCCTATTCCTAACATAATGGCCACTTGACTGAAGAACTAAAAACTTGCTGTCCCTAAATGCCGCTTTGATAGATACTGCATATATCTGACGCATGTTTGCAACTAAGTCAGTAGTGAAAGTTGTTGCCATCATTAGACAAATTGAATCACTTAAAATACATTGTGCAGGTAACGATCGAAATATGTTTAAATCGGTTGAATCCAGGTTCGAATTCGTTCGTCAATTTGACGGATCAAGTGTTACCACTTCCGTCGAGATTTCATCTTTTGAAGCAAAGATGTGGGGAACAGTTATATTCGAACATATATATAGATTGGTTTATAGCATCAGATCTACGAAAGGTTGGAAATTTAAAGCTACTATTCATCATAGCATGAGAGAAAGGCACTCTTTAAATGATATAAAACATTTTTGGTGTGCAGATGAATTAAATACTAACCAAAATTAGTGTACGATTTCTTAGCCCCAACATCAGTTCGCTTATATTGAAAAAGTAGTAAGTAGTAGAGGACTAATTCGAGTAGTTATAGAATAATTGATTATATCAAACTGATAAGAATAAAATTATAAATGAACTCACAAGATCTATATTCTTCATGCAGTCATACGATTTAGCCACAGATATGACGAGACTCATAGTTCAAAAAATATCGTGGTGTAGAACATTGGTTAGGTGAGATATAAGTGAGATCAAAATCTTTATATAAAAAGATATAACTGCTAGTACCTCTGCCACTAGTAACCCTGCTATATTTGACATATTATATAACAATCAAAGGAAATAAATAGTACACTATGAACTATAATATAACTTCTGCTCAAAGTACGTCTGTTCACAACCTTTAAAAAGTGAGTTCTTTAAAATGTGGTGTATATATGTTACTTGAGTAAGTAAAATAATAGGATATCAACGGCGATTTTAGGAAGTGATCCATTGTCATATAAAACTTAGATGAATTAAGACCATTTTAAACTTTTAATGACGAAGATTTTTAAGGGGAGGTCCTGTAGTTGATAACAGGTATTGTAAAAAAAATTCTCTACGATATTATACACGTTACAGTGGAGAAGGAGATGTAAAGTATTTCTTATAGAAACATGAAACGTAATATTACTGCTGAAATTTTGAAATGATTTCTTAACCGATTGCTATCGGGAAGTAATGAGAAAAATATGTAACTGTCTAAAGTTGTTGCAGTACAACAAGACTTTAAAAAGGCATTCACATATAACAATATTAAAATGTGTTATCTTCGTTTGAACTGAAAGGCCATATAAATGGCAAACTTTTTAAAAAAACTTTTGCGATTAAATAAAAGTCAAAGGTTAGCTGTAGGTAGACCAACTTAGACAATATATTCTGTACGTGATAAGACCTACCATAACTCTTATTAAAGTGTAATTAAATCTCAAATTCTTATTTGCTGAATATAAACATATAAACATTGTCTGCGATAAGAAGAAAGATTATTATATAGCATTTAATAAAAGATTATAGTAAAATTAACAAAACTCTTACAGATCTACTTATTTATTAAAGAAATATGTGCTATAAATTTAAAATGTAGATATTTTCGAAATAACTTCTCTATATAGTAAAATTTCCAATAGAACTTAGTTGGTTGTTTTCCGAAATAACAATAAAAACCGAATTTTTAGGCTTATTAAAAAAAGTTAGAATGTCAAATATCTGCGAGCATCTTTAAGTATAAGTACAGATGTACTATAGATCGAAGAATCTTTTCAACAAGCTGGTTTTATTAGTAACTTAGGTTTTTAAGATAAGATGTTTTCTGAAATGGTGAAGGATCTTTTTAACAAATTGACAAGCTCTGTTAGCTCAGAAACCATATTCAAAACCTTCTGCACAGGCCATCATCATGATTGTTTGGATATAAATCTTTACTCTAATTTTTGTTGGAAAGTATGAAATCCTAAATTAACCGAAAAAAATTATAATATTGCATTGAAATTTTTTCAAGAATTAATTATTTCTTAGAAATATAATATTATATATACATTATATATGTATATCATATTATATTCATATCATATTATATGTTTCCCTGAAGATGACTATCAATTATAGTCGAAATATTGGAAAAATATTTTTATGATTTATATAATTTGTTTTTAAATATAAATAATATTGGTCATTTAAATGATCAATATAAATAAATTATTATAAAATTTTATAAATAATTTATTAAAACATTCTTTTATATTAAAAATATAACCACTCTTCCAAAGTATTGGGGAATTCCAAAAATAACAATCAATAAAACTGTTTGCATTCTTTCAATTACCATATGGAATAACTTACAAGTATAAGTCTTGCCAGGAACATAACCAACTGCACCATCAGCTACAATTAATTTATATCCATTATCGCCGCGCGTTCGACGACCATGTGGCAGATGAGTCGGGGCACGAGGACAGCCCGCAACTAAATTAATTGTTGCAATAACAAACAATAAAACTGCAATGTCGCACTTAAATAATTGCATCTTAGGTACTTTTTTTATAAAGCAATATAAAAAATTTAAATATATGTAAATTCACATATATTTGTATTATAAATTAAAACATTTAAATGTGTATTATTTATTTCACACAATTAATTTCTTTCTCAGAAAAGTATCAATGAGTATTCACAAGTACTATAGTTCAAAAATGATAGCCTTTTTAGGCTACTGGCGTAGCACTTATCCTTATAAATAACTATATATACACATATACATATATTTGCATATATATATGTTTGAGTATATATTTTTCACTTTCAATCCGCGCGTTAAACGTTCTACTTCGATCGATGTACGCGCTCAAACTGAACTCCTCAAAATAGAAACCGACTTCCAGCTGAGCTTGAAATGAGTACATTTTCTGGGCGAAGAACATTCTTACTTATATTTTTAATAGATTAAGTCATTGAAGATGCGTGTCTTTGAGAAGAGCACTTAATTGATAAGATTTCTTTGTTTTATGCACTACAGTCGTGCTCACATATGTTCAATACATCAAGAATTAAAAAATTTTAGCTTGATGGTTTTTAAGTTGGTAAGAGAAAATATAAAGGGACTTAATTCCATCGATATCTTTATCTTGTATGATAGAGACTATTTTATTAAATCTGCTTTATATTTCGATCAGAGCAGTGTAATTTTATAGCATTGAAGATTAACGTACAAATACCTCTCTCTCCCAAAAAAATAAAGCACAAAAAGCTAAGTTTGAACGACGACAGAATGGTTACCTTTAGTCCACTAGAAAGCCTTATCAATAAATAGGATCTAGTTCCGTAATACAAGAATGGTAGTTTGTAATTCTGCAATTCAAGAACGGAATGCAGAATACTCATTAGCATGCTAATATGGCTTTGTCTGTTGAAAGCATATTCCCACAAGATAGAACTGGCTCTATCGACAACGGGAAGAAAAAATTTTCGATTGAGGCAATGTCATTTACTAAATGAGTTTGCTACACAAATGATCAACTTATCATAATAAGCAAAACTATAAATAAACATTTTAATTTATATATCTTAATTATTTCTCTAATGATTGATAGTCGTATGGGCATTTCAGTATAACGAAGCCGACCTTCCTCAAATTGAATTGGTATTGATATTTCCATTATTTGTGATAATTATTTAAATTCGATATTCTTTAAAGTCTAGAATGGAAACATTGTTTCTCATTCTCAATTTTAATAATTATCATGCTCTTCGCTCTTCCATCATTGTGTTTTCAATTTTTTGACCTCAGAGGTCAATTGGGTGTAGTGATAAGCATTCAGTTGATTATTATGTATTCTTTCGGATTTCAAAGTAATATTCTCGTGATTTATATATTAGACAAACATAAAATGTGTTTCTAAGATAATAAAATAATATTAACAAATCGGATTTATTGCAAAAATAAGGATATATATACGAATGTATATATATTTACGTGCTGTGTATGGATACTTTCAGTTTCGTTTAGTTTTTATTCTATATTGAGAACGGAAATCTTTAAGATTGCACATAATGATATATAGTATTTTAAATATAATAGATTATTTATATTTAGTAAGAAAATTGTACACAATAAACAATTTGTGTTTATTGCTTGAAGAAAGTATTTTAGTGAGTGCTTATTAGAATAGAAGGAAACATGAGCAGTACGAACCGCAAATGCCATAACATTATGTCGCCGGTTGAATAATGCTAACAACATATTTTGTTGTTGTTATTAACAATCTTATGAAATGTCCCTAGTTTTATCAAATTTGCTCCCTTTCCTAACTCTTATTCTATGTCGCATGTTTACAAACTTCGTCCTTGTTCTGAGAAGCTTCTCATAATATAGTACATACATTTTTCTGCAGTCTATTTTGTCTAGTATGTCACAGAAATGGATAACCAAATGGAATATTAATCGGTAGAAGGTCTCTCACATCTTTCAAGTCAGATATTCAGATCATGTATAAATGAATATACTCTCGACATCATATCCTTATATGGACAACTATTAGCAAACCATTTCTGAAGGCGACTAACGTATATTAAATGTTCTTTATCTTCGAGCCTTTATCTTTGAAAACCTGTGACTGCTTTTTATGAAAGAAGATATGAATTATTACGTATAATTCAGTAAAGTAATCTTGCCATCATATATGTATTTGCATTTGTTTTATTGTATGAATATATCGACATATATGAGAGAATCCTTTCCTTAGCCGAATGCCGATTATCACGTGTCCTTTATCTTTGAGCGTAGTCTAAAAGACTCTAACTGACAAGCTTGACAACTATGAGGCAACTATTATGGAAGTCTTTATACAGAGTATTAAATACTTTTTTTGGAAGAGCATATTTAGCTTCTATTAAAGGAATTCTTCTTTGTATGCCAAACAGATAGACTATATATATCGCTAGATACTAATACCGACAAATTCGATAAACCAAGACTAACTGCAGTTTCTTTGGTCATTAGTGTTTAGGAACTTACGCAGAGAAACTTCTAACTCGTTTAAATACTTGCTGCAGAAAATGTGGAGACAGTTAAGAGCATTTTCTCCGTGACTGTCCAGCTTTGCTTTCCACAAGAAATGGGCTTATAGGGAAGTACTTTTTTGGTGGTTTGTAAAAATTTGGTTGTTTGTAGTTGATTGGTAAGACCAAAAGATGTTAAATTACTTAAATTCAACAGGATGGATATAGTTTTTTTTTTATATCTTAAGGTCTCTTACTGTTATTACTACATTTCTTGCAAATGGTGAAAAATCTCTTATTATAGGTAGCAGAAAGATATTTATTGATCTGTTACTGCCATCAATCCTTTAAGTCTCCATACTATATTGCATTAGTCAATTTCTTTCTGCTTCTCCGTATTTTATGAATACATCCAAACTTATCACAATGAAACTAATTTAAGTGAGATCAAGTACCAATGAGCACTAGCCACGCTTAATAAATCAATGAGTTCTTTGAGATCATGTGTGCATCGCAACAAAGTTCCGTCTGAGAAAGTGTCCATTTTAGATTTAAAGGGATGAAATAGAATTTCACTATTCTGCAACAGCTCTCTTGACACAATTGGGTTTAAAATATAGCCATGTGCTATATAGTTATTTACTCCTCATGGCGTTGACCATTTGTTTTTATGTTACACACCTTCTATTCATAATAACTGAAGGAATATAGATTGATGTCTCCATTGGAAAGGCATGAGATGGAAAGGTTTCTTCTTTTACAGCAGCATTAACTGATTTGCTAAGTCTAGTTGTAAGTCCATAAGTTTGATATATGATATTCTCTAACTTTTGTTAAATAAAATATTTTGTTTGATGCTTTATATATTTATATATATATATATATTAAATTTTATTGCAATAAATTTGTGTATATCTTTCAATCTAAAATTTTTCTTATAATTTCAGTTTAAATTACATACAAATTTTACAAACGAGACTTATAAATGAGATTCTATTTCATAAAAATCAATAAACAAAAAAAAAAAAAATCCAAACAGATTTGTTGCTTTAAATGATCTTCGATAGTTATATATATTTATAAATATAGTGTATATAAGTAATTTGCATATATATTCATAATAAGAATAATATTTATATGTTGATGCATTTTTAGGAAAAGCATTTTTACAACTCACATGTTAACTTATAAACTATAAACTTATATCTTTCTCAAAAAAAAAAAAACAATATAGAAATGAATTAATATATATAAAATAAACAAAAAAATAGTGATATATTTTACCACTATTAATCACAATTTATGCATCTTAAATAATCACAAAATTTTAATTAAAAATAATGTGCATTGAAATAATCAGTTATGAGTAATTTTTTTTTAATATTTCTTGCTTTTCAATTATAGAGAAATTTTTTCGTTGAATATTTATAAATTATATACATTGAAGTAAATAATATATAATTTCAAGTGTTTATATATATTATAAAAATAAAAAGTTTAATAAAAAATTTAAAAATGATTATATTAAATAAATATTTTATAAGTCAATGAAATTTCAAGTTGTTTTTGAAACATAAAATTTTTCTGAAATCAAACAAATTATTTTGTCAAGATACAAAAAAAAAGATACAAGATATATTCTAAGGTTCCAGTTGGCAATTCCGTTGAAGTTTTCCCTATAGGCTCGTTTGAAATTCATTATTGTGATACTGAGTATTGTGGCCTTTGGATGAATTGTTGAATTCAATACTAAAATGTTAAAATTGGAGTTTCGCGATGATCAAGCAAATCTGAAAAAACATAAACAAAATTTTTAATATTTTAATATTGAAAATAATAAAAAGTCACTATAGAGTCCCTACGGCTTTTAAGATGCAAAAGGAACTAATGGGGTTTATGATAAAGTTTGTAGAGTAATATAGATTGGCTTATATTTATGTTCATACCAAATATTTGTTATAATAAAATATAGATATTGAATATATCGGGCAATAAAAAAAGCTAAAGCGGTTTTTTATCACTAGATGGTGTTGTGACCCAATGGGTAACAACATGTGGCTGCACCAATGATATATGGTTAGTATATTTTAAATATAAAAGATATAATGATTACCTTATTTGGTTAGTTTAATTATACTTATTTTTTTATTATTTTCTTATAATATAAGTTCTATCAAATAAGAGTGTCTATAATTGCATGATCAGATTTAGGTTTCCAAGCCATTTGGCAGTTCGCAAACAAGAGCGATTTAATTTATTTAATAGTTGAAAAGTCTGTATATGGTAAAGCTTGAGTTCGCGATGGATGGAGGCTGGAAATTCCAACACAAAGAACTTAGCTAGGTTGAACAATCAATGTTGTGAATTCTGGATTAGGAGTTGGTAACAGTTATCGTTCTTATTCTTATTTTTGGATGCGTCTTATTTGATCGACACTTTTATTACAAACAAAATGTGCGACGGAACGTATATCAGCAAATCCTCTTCTATCCATAATAAACTCATCTAAGTGGAACTAAAAAATGTTTGGATAATCCACTACTTTACTGGACAGCCTAGTCATTCTAATTTTAGTGGACTTGGTAATGGTTTTATTCATGTTTTTATGGATTATTCTGTATATTAGAGTTTATGACATGCCAGGAAATTTTCAATATATTCCTTAGGGTGATGTTTTGTAATATTTGCAATTTATGGATTGCTAATATATGCGTATTCTATTTCTTATTTTCGAATAGGGGAGAAAGCTAATTCAGAGTTTGTGTAAAAATTGTTTTAAGATAATTCATTGTACCACTCTACTCAATTCTGGCATTGTTGATTCATAAAGCCTTTGGATTCTGATGACACTTACGAGTAAACAGTTAATTATTGAAGATCCAAAAGAACTGTGTGATTAGCTTAAGAATTACTTGTCATCGAAGAATTACTTACAGAATCGAAATCTAGTCATAGAAAAAATTCTAAAAGTCTAGTCACATAAAAATTTGTTTTTTACCCGTATTTTAATAACATAATTGAAAACAGCAGCTATAGTTTCTTGAGTAAGCATTAATGCTATGTGAGAGTATTTTTTCAAATGATTATAGGGACATCATAGGCTCCCTATAATCAGTTTTATTTTACATTTTATATAAATATTTTTTCACAAAAACATTAGTAGAATTAAAAGAATTAATATTATGTATAACAGTCTTACCCTTTGCAATGCTCCACCAAGGCAGTGTCACATAGGTTAAAAATGCATTCAGCGGTGTAGATTGCTGGCGACGATTTTCTTTCCAGAAATGGAATGACTGTGTAAAGCCACGACTTGCCCAAAGTGGATTGTATGCACCATCATCAAGTTCTGAAATACACACAAATTATACATAAAAATATATAAATACAAAGAATATTGACAAGCAAGAAAATTAAGTCAAACTATCTAATAATAATTAATATGAGTATAAGTAACCTTTGAAAGTTTTCCTAGGAAAGTCACACCAATAATAAATATTGGTGCCATCTGGTGTACGTCGTTTGGGCACCAAATTCATGGCTTTGTTGTAGAAAGCTTGTTGAGCTGCGGTACGCTTGGGACGTGGTAAAGTGGATTGTTGTGTGACATGTTCAAAATCATCGCTCTCATGGGTGTTATTGCTTTGTTCGACTTGGGTTGGCGATATGGTTGCTTCACAATTGCCATTGCAATCGTTCAGCATTGGAGTAAATTCTGTTGGTTGTTGTGTTTCAGCATCTGAATTTTCTTCCCTGTTTTGTGTTTTATTATCAATGTTTACGTTATCAGTTACCGTTTTTAGCGGCAACTGAAATGGAGGGCATTCTGTATTGACAGGTACACATTTTTCAAAAATTAAAGTTTTATTTTGTGTATCATTTGTTGTAGTTGTTGCTGCATTTATATCTGCAGTTGTTGGCGGCGATGGTTCCTCCATGACAGGCAATTCTTCTCGTCCTCGCACATTTATCATGAGCTTTGAATCGTTTTCACTAAACATTGCCATTTTGGCACCGTTTTCACTTGCAATTATCTCGCAACCATTCAGTGAAGTTGCATCATCAGCAATTTCATACTCCTGAAGTTTAATGTCCTCTCCATTGGAGTTTGCTTCCACATTATTATTTGCGGTTTCCTTAGTTGTTTTATTTGTTTTTGTTTTCGTATTACTTTCGGTAGTGGATGCGGACATTTTCGGTCTTAGACGCTTTGGAGAAACACGTGCTAAAATATTTGCAGTTTTTGAGGACTTCTCCTTTGGCTTCTCTTTATTTTCTTTATCTTTTTGTTTATGTGTTTCCTTACTCTTTGTGTTTTCTTTATCTTTTTCCTTGTCTTTGTCTTTTTCTTTAACTTTAGTTTTCTCTTTTTTATTCGTGGAGCTTTCATTCTTCTTTGCTTTCCGATCGGCTGAACTTAGTGATGAACTACGAGTTATACTTGTTTTCTTATCGTGCAAACGTAAGCTACCTCCTCTTTTCGTTACCACTAATTCACTTTCAACACTGAGTATTGTCTTGTGTTTCGGTTTGGTCTTTTTATCGGGCATCTTATTTAGGCAGGCCGGCGTTTCATTAGCAACATCATCACAGGTTGGACAGTAGATCTCGGACATTTCAGGTGTGTTCTTATCTAAATCATTTGTGACCCAACGTTTACATTTTTTACCGCCGAAACAGTTACCACAGCCAGTGGTATTATTCGAAGTGGGTGAGGTGATGACTGTTACTTCGACAGCATCTGCTACTGGGGTACTAGCAATCGCTGCGCCATCTTCAGTGCTTGGATTTTGTAACAAGGTTGCATTGTGCTTTTCACAATTTGGATTGAGATGTAGTTTAGCTTCGGATGCCGAGAAAGCAGGATGTAGATCTACAAATAAATATAGATCGTTTACGTTTAAAAAAATAAAATTGCAAAATAATTTAATTAAATTAAAAGAAATTACACTCGAATTAATAAAAATAAATAATCTTGTGATAAAAATTCAAATTAAGCAAAATGCACATGCCTAACAAAAATTTTGGTGTTCATTCCTGAATTTTATTTGGACATATTGCATAAGCAAGGATATACTACAGTTAAAAGGATATTTTGAAAAATCGTTTATGAGCAAAGTATACAAACTAAGATAGATTACGAAGGTAACTGAGAGGAAATCTAAACATAAGGACAGTTTCTTACTAATATTGAGAGAATTTAGTTCATATAAGAAGCAAAAATGGAGCCATTAAATTAATGAAGAAGAATCTTATGTATAAAGTTGGGATCAATGTATTTAGCATGAGGATGTATAAGAGTAGTCGTCTACTGAAAATGCAAAGATTTTTTGGTGAAGTTCTTATACATTTGAGGCTTGTGTTAGCAAAAAGTTATTTTATTCCATAGGGAATATTGAATATGAGTCTGTGTGCTTGTAAAATTTATTTATACAATGAAAATTTTCTTCGGTGGACACCGAAAGCATCAACAGTACTTGCGGATAAAGAGAATAGTCCATATAAATTAATTTACTTAGTACGAAATATGAAAACTAGCTACTAGAAACTATATACGGTTAAGAGAGATGTTCGTTTTATAGAGCTTTGTTTTTAGTATTTGGTAGCACCCAACAAAAATATATGTCTCTCAATGGAATTAGTGCTGAATTGATAAATTATATCATTGACATTGACATAATGAAAGACATTATATCAGACTTTGGGGAATAGTTAATGTAAAAAGTTTTAAATTAATCAGTCTAAATTTAGAATATATATGTTATATACTCAAATTTTTTTTGATTTCTTTCATATGTAGGTTATACGATGATAAAAATAATTGTACCACTATATTTATAATAAGAGATTGTTTACTTCTCTGCAAAGTAGTGAATTAAAAAATGGATAGTTATAAGTTTAGGACTTCAAATATTACTGGTTTACGAGTATGAATAAACGTCTTTTAATTCATTTACACGTACATAAATATATTTTACTATATTTAACACACATAAACTAGAAATTAAGTTCAGTTACTAACTATTAATTTAAGTTACTAAGTTTTTTGTTAAGAAATTAAAAGTGTTTAAATAACATTAAATAAATATAGGAGTATTAAATTAAAAAATATTTAATAAAGGAAGGAGCGAAATAAAAATATTATTTTACACATTGGAAGAACTGTGTACTTAAATCCTGCTTTCTCGGCAAACTATACATATCTATTCAAAATATGTATTCTTAGGAAATATATGTTAAAATGTATTGGTTAAATAATGTTATAGTTTGTGGTGATTTTCTCTGACTAAAATATTTAGCAGAATAGATACACAATAATAGATAATGTTGATAGGTAAAAGCAGCAAATTTTTACAACAAAATTAAGCAATAAATTGAAAGTGGAAATAAATTAAAAATATAAAAAATTTAATAGAAAATAGTATATAGAACAGCTACGAGATTACATTTAAAGTTTAACAATGATTTTTTTTTTATACATAGAGTTTGAATATTAACTGAAGTTATATCTCAATGACAACGATTTTTATGACACGTGAAAGGATATGCGATGTCGTTAAGGACTTGAAGGAACTCAGGTGAAGTGTATTCCAAATGATAATACGGTACTCTCTACTATTGTTATCTACTATTGAAAAATGTTTTTAATTGTGTTACGCATATGTATATGGATGGTATCGAGAAAAATTTTATTTATAGAAAATATATTCAAATCAATTTTATCTATGCAATTATAAAAATCAAAAAAAAAAAGAGAAATCTTTCAACTACTGTATAAAATTTATGAAACAAAATCAGATTTTGATGCATTTTATATATAAACTTATATAAAACTTGGATTAAAAGGTCAGAGATGGTTTTTAAGGAAAGAATGTAGTAACAAAATTCTTAACAGGTCTCCGCTCAATATATCCAGGGGGGTGGTCAGGTTGTTTACATTAATTTACCTGACCTTTTAGCTCAATTGAGGTCAGGAAAAAATAATGTTTTAAACAGATAATTGACACGCATAAATGCGTTAATCATTCAGTCATCCCCGATCTCACCGATTTGTCCTAACACACACACACCAATTTGAATTTTAATTGATCTTTGGTTTCATTCCATTTAAGTGGGTAGGTTATTGCCCGAGGTTTTTAAAACAAACTGTTATTTTTATTGAATCATGACTTTGTATTCATTGAAACAGAAAATAGTTGTTGGAAGAATAAACAAGAAACACTTGTGCTTTGTTTTAATGCCACTGCATTAATGTTCTTGTAACCCATATTCGTTCGAAATCGATTGTTTTTATGTTTTGAAACTTATTTAACTAAATTATTTCGTATATTTACAAAAATAAAAAAACTCTCATAGGATTATAAGACGAATAAATCGGTTAGGATGAAGTGATAGGTGTAGGTAAAAAAGCTGTTGTGTGGGATGGAAAAGCGATGCCGATGAGGGTGGGTGCTAATTAAAAATGGCTTCGACCTAGTGAAAAAAACTCAGCTACCTCTCTATAAGATAGACCAATGAAACAATCAGGCTAAAATTAGTGTATACATTTGGGCATTGGATCAAATCAGTGACGTTATGAGGATTAACGCCGCAGTTGTGACACATATTTGAAATTTAACTAAAAAATTATTTGCTATAAGTTGGTTTGTTGGCATAACAGGATTTACTTTTCAAATCGCGTCGACTTTTTTTCTTATTTGTTAATGGACCACTAAAAACCAAAAGTATGTGATAGATGGAAGTTTTGTTGAATCTTATCTTTGGGTATTTGCTAGTAAAATTAATTTTAATAGTTTTGATTGTAAAAAGACTTAAGAGTATAGGTTAGTTAAAACGATTTTGTCCTTGTCATAACACAATAAAACAGGTGTGATACATATGTTTACAAATAGTCAGAGTGTAAAAAAAAGATAATTTACGAACAACATTGCAAGAAAGCATTTGAACACTCAAATTAAGAAAGTAAGAACAAATTAATTAAAAAAATCATTATAAAATTAGTCATGCAAAATTATATAAATAACACTTATTTAAATGATGCACAACGCATATCTGATAAGATACAAAAATACTGAGTCATCAACACATTTTAAATACATTTTGTACAAAAATAATTAAAATAAATTATACTACAGCTGCTTTAAGTAATCTTTTAGAATTGCTTACAAAGGCAAAATGTATAAAATAAATCAATTAAGAACAATAAGAATTTTTACAAGAGTATAATAATGATTAAACTAATAACTAAAATTATATTACAAAAATTTATTTACCATCTCTCAAATCGCCTGCTTCTATTTCGGAAACTTCACTAGCTAATGTATCTAAGCCCTCATTTTCAGAACGCGCCTTTGCTCCAGCACCGGTGACATCTTGTGTATTTTTAGTACGCCAACCATAACGATTGAAATTATTTAAATTTGCACTGGGATCACTTAAACGTCTCTGGTGACGATAAGTGCAATAATCGTCATTTTCTTCTTCCCACTCATCCCACATATCGGTGGCACAAAAACTAAAAAAAAACCGAAAGTTATTTAACCACAAAAAATGTTAATAAATTTTTTAAAAATACCCAGGTTCACTGGTGGGTGTTTCTACACCAGAACCTTTTGGCTTAGTTACAGCCATTTCAGCATGTCCTTTGCCCTGTGGACCTTTCATGCGTACAAACTCACAACGTGTTTGCACACCAGCACCGCTACTGAATAGACCAAACGACATGCGTTGTGCGACTTTGGAACTGAGACTAGATTGCTAAAATGAATCAAAAAATAAAATAATGTTAGATAATATTTAAAATTTTATTTTTTATAAAAAAAATGTTTACCCTTGCATCATAAACTTTCTTTAAAGCATCATAACGTATTGAACCTAAAAATATTACACCTTGTACTGCACCATCTTTATCATTAGCCACTAGTTCCACGCAAACCATTTCGCCATCACGCACCAAAATATCACTAAAAACCTATAAAAGATAATTAATTATTACTTAATTCAATATATTATATTATTTACTTACCTCATCAAAATTATCCACCATAAAGCATATATGAGGATAGGTAATTTCTTCGCCTTCGCCTTTTGTATCCATTTTACGCCGACTTGGGCTTGCGTAAACTCGTTGCGAATGCCTACGCAGTACTTGTAGTTCCTTTGGTGATGTGCGTGTACATATAGCTAGTGTCAGCGTATAATCGAACTGATGTATAACCATATTCAGATAGACTGTTTCCTCCCAGTCTACATCAGGATCACCTATTGGTAGTTTACGTGAGTCTTTACGAAAAACATCGACCTCAGTCTGTGTGAATATATGGTAAAATGTTATATATTTAAGTTAAAATTTTAGAGTTTCGAGAGCGGAGGCTACTAACCTCATATTTTGGCATATGTCGGGAAGAGCTTTTAACGTGTTTTTTACGTACGAAAAATAATAAATCATCTGAATCGATACTATGCACTGGTTCTGATGGAAAAAGAAAATGTCTTACAAATAATTCTGTCCAATAGGTGGTACCAGTTAGAACGACAAATCCACTATCTGCAACAAAAAAAAAACAAAAAAAAATAAAGAATGTTATTTATCAGATCAATTAATAATGTGTAGGAATAATGTGTGACTATGCACTATATCAAGTCTGGCGAATTTTAATTTGTTCTTCAATCAAAAACTATTTTTCTAGATGGCGGTAGGATCGTTTCTGATGGTGCATCCATATATGCATGGATTAATTTTTTTATATTTTTCATAATATACTATATGAGTATATCTATACTTCTATCAACACAAGTATCTTTATTGAAGTTGACAGATATCATGTATAGCGAGGATTTTCATTCTAGAGTTCTAGGAACGACTGGACTTACACGTAGATCAAATTGTTTTATCTTTTTTATTTACATTATCTTTTTAAATGGATAATGTAATAACAGGATATTAGTTGTTCTTATGTTTATATAAATTGTCTATGTTCTTTTCCACTTTAATTTGAAGCCTGTTGATTTGGTTGAACCTTACCTAGGTTCAGACAAATGAAAATTGCCAACATAATAGGTTCAATATTTATGATATTCCAAGAAATAAATAAGTGGACGTCTGCTGAAAAGTTTTTTATGAAACAATTGTGGATGTGTCTCTGTTGATATTTTCGATGTAATTTTCAGTAATTTTCGATGTATTCTTGATATGAAAAAAGGTATCAAAATATACAAAGTAAAGTGGCGGTTTCACTAACTCTTCTCTCATTGGCTTGATTGTTTTAGTTTGTTAATGATTTCTTGGAATTCTATAATTAATAGAGATTTATTTCATATTTATAGTGGTAACACATATCGAATAAGATAAAATGAAGAGCTGTTTGATCCTACACATATTATTTCATTCTTACTCCTACACAATGCCATCGTCACTCACACCACAATCACCTACCCAAGTCCTAACCCATGTGTATGTATTTATAATTCCTTTCATGTTATCCGTTCGACAGATCTCTGCGAGTTACCATAATAACATGAGCTTTATGAGCTATACCGTGAAATTGATATAGTTACTTGATTGAAAACTTGCTAGAGATTATCCGGATCTTCGGTAGAGAGAGAAGTTGGTAGTCACTTGGTCCGACTGGTGGTACTATTAACTGGTGACAGTAAACTACAGAACAAGCTGTCTGGAGGAGTCTACTAGGACGCGGCCAAGTATGATTCACTTTTGTAATGGGCAATAAGGTAGCATAACTTTATTTAACATGTTGGAGGGATTGTAGTTAACAGACAATTGCTAATATGTTATGTATGACATATGACCCAAATAAATATATATTTGTAAACACTTATATTATACAATATTTTGAATATTTTTTAATAGAGTCTAGTGGATTAGTTTGTTATATAAATGACTGCGTAAGTACGGTGTGGTAATTTAGAAGTCATCTTTTTTAATATTTTTGTATGAGAAGAGTATTAATTATTGGCATTGATTTAATCTCTGATTTTTTTTTTAATTTGACTTGAAGTTGAAGTTATTTAGGTAAGCATCCATCTATACTTACAACAATAAGTATCTTAACAATGTGTATGGGTTTATTTGGAAAGCATGTCAATGATGAATTGAAATCACAATGGATTTGTTGTACTACTGGATATGTGCCAAGGGTAATGACAGCTCTCTATAGAGGATTTGTTGTTATGCCGAGTACGTAAGTAAAAAACGGAAAGTCAGAAGTAGGCAAAAAATGTTAATGGAATGCCGTTCACTACATAATGCAACCCTCTTCAAAAACATAGGCATGAGAACAGAGGCTCGTCTTAGAACTTATAACAGGAGTTCACATTATAAAGAATATAATATTTTGCAATTAACAAAACTGATTAAAAATGTTAAGCAAGTCATTCTCATTGTATGTAAAAAAAGAATAAATATTTATAATTGTACAATATGAAATATGAGGGTTCTTCACCTGCGACGCTACTGGGTATTGTTTGCTTTCTGCTTTGTTTTGTTTTTTTTTTTTTTTGGTTTTTTTGCATATAAATTGGTTATACAGAAAACGTTATTCGATGGCGTGGATGTAAAAAATCTTGATAAATCGATAAACCGATTTGTAGAGACATTTTGAAAATTCTATTCATTCTATTTGGAAAACAGCTTAAAAAATAAAAAAAATAAGATAATCAAACAATTACTAATGCTTTAGGTACTTGCCGTCTTTCAGCAGTTGTCGCATTTCCTTGGTGCGCTGGAAATTGATGTCTTCCAGCAATTGTTGCAAAGGCGTCTGTGGCTTCAAAATAGCACCCGCAGCACTGGCCAGCGACATTTTGCTGTTATTTAACTTTTTTAGGTTGTAAGTTACGTATTTACTTCAGTTGCAATATAAGTTACGTACATTTAATTTTAATTATTGTGAAATTAAAAACGTATATTCCCCTCGGGGTGTGGTGTGTTGCAAACCAATTATTTTTGTACTGCTACGTTACATTTTTATTTTTAAGTTAAAGTTTTAGATTTAGGGTTAATAATAACACTGCAAAATATATACATCGATTGTAAATATTTTATAAAAATTATTTTTATTATATATTTTATTCTTTTTTACATAAAAAAGTTTTTTTTTTACTTAGTAAAAATTAGTTTGTGTCGCGACTCTCGCATTGACTTCACAACTGTTTTATGAAAGAAAATGTTTTGCCAGCTCGGCTCTCAATAGAAAACTGCTTTTCTTTTAGTTTTCATTTTATATTGGGGTTGCATGTGTATTATATATGTAAAATTGAATATAACTTTTACTTATATTATTCTGTTTTTTATGTTTACTTTTACTTTATTTCTTCTCATTTCTTGTTGTAGCAAAAACTCTCAACTGCGCAGAATCTGAAAATGTTTTGTTTTGTAAACAAAGTGCGATTTTGCTTGAAGAGTCGGCAGAGAACAGCTGTTTTGCTGTATTTTGTTGTTATGGTAATAGTGTATGAAGGGTTACAAGTATCAGTGCTGCCAAGTCACTAGCAAGTAGTGTCAATGCTATTTTAGACACAAACCACAATCTTACAGACAAGTCGAAAATGTTATGAAGTTTTATTATTATTAATAAAATATATTTTTTGTTTTGATTTAATAAAAATTGCAAAGGTGTAGGGAGTAAATAAACACCACTTCCGTCCAAGTGTTTATTACTGCAATTTCCTCACATTTGCCTGCAGTTTAATTTGCTGCTTACCAAATAGCAAATACAAATACAATATCTGAAATCCAGAGATTTATTTATTCGATCTCCCACACAGCTTACATAAAAAATATTATTTTATATTTAATTAATATATAGATTATATTTTTAGCAGCATAAGTTTGCCTCTTAACCCGTGAGCACTTCAAATTATATCTTTCCTATAGAATCTTGGGTCAACTTGACACAATTATCGTAACAAAAATTAAAAGAAGTTAAAAAAAATTTGATATTTTTTATTTTTTAATTTTTTTTATTTAATTTAATTAATTTTTCTTAAATTTCTGGTTGGTTGTAGAGGTAGATGATCAGTAGATATCCTTCCGCATTTTATTACCACATTCCCGGCAAGATACTATAAGAGATAAAAATAAACTAAATAAATTCCATCGAATTAAGCATTTTAAGAGATCTTTCAGCCAATTTAACTTCGCAAAAAACCTACCACTTTTAGAGGTCAAGGAGGGCATTGACAGAGAAAATGCTTAATTGTCTCTTATTCCTATATGCTTCCATAACTTCTACAGTGAGTATTAAAATATATGTACAATTTTTCTGCGTGGAGGGGGCCCATCAGTGACCACAGATACTGGCCGACTTTGCAGTATTCACGCTGTCATTTTCATTGATTTACCAGAATCTGGAATTGTTATATGAAAGTCATGTTAAACAAGAAGTTACATATGACCGAAATGTATTTCATTTATTATTAGTAACTAAAGAAAGTTGAGATAAGTACTTCTCTAAATGATATTCAGGGAAACATAAACCGGTACCGCTGGTGATAGGGATACAGGCTTATATCCAGGTACAGGTATAGGTAAATAATATCTAGGAAAGCAGAAGGGTGGACCAAATCGTCTGATTATTCATTCGTTTCAATATTCTTGCGTCCGGGAACCCAGATGAGAGTGATGTCAGCTAATTTGTTTAGCTTACCAATTTCCGTACTGCATCTTTTAACTAATTTGAATTTTATGTCTATTAGACCTTCATAGATTTTTCAAGGAAAGTAGAGAGTAGCTTCTTCTTTGAATTTAATCTTCATATAAGTTACAATTTTTTCACGTTGAAGTTTGTTCACAATGGTCGACTGATTGAGTTCCTTATCTCTGTCCTTCACTCAACAAATCAAAAATCTTTTACTTTACCCTTGTAAGCAGTCCAGTCCGAATTAAGCTGCAATAATTATAGTTAAAAATCTAATTAATAGTATTTAGAGACAACCTTTATTTCGCATTAAATTCTACACATTTTTTATAAATATTTTCAATACTTAAAGTGTTTGATAACTTCACTAAAAACACAAAATCAAAATGAAAAAAACATTTCTGTTAAGTAAAAAATTTTTATTCTTTACTTGAATATGATTATAAGACGTGCAGCAACTTCTGTAGATCTTTTTTATATATTATACTCGCATTAACAAAATTTATTTTGCAATAATTTACTCATGTAGACAAACTCGTATATCACAACAACATCCAACTTCTCCATAATCCTTGCAAAATCCATTGCTGATGCAATTGCTTGATTAGTTTTGAAGTCGAGCGTTAGACATGCAATCACAAACTTCGTGTTGCACATTTTAACAATTCTCAAATTGTTTTCTTTTCCCACATCCCCAACCGCCAACCGCCGCCCCTAGCACCAAAAAACTATAAACCACAAACAATAAGGAATAGCATGAAGAAAACATAGTGGAAGTACAAGGATTCTTTATATTCTCAACTGAGTTGCGAAAAAAAAGAACTATTTTCTGTTGTTCCTTCTATGAAGTAGCATGGAGTAAGAATCAAAATCTTAACCACAAAATCTGAAGCACATATCGGATAAATCATACCAAGGCATATATGATTGCCTGTATCTGATACACACATATATATCCATAGTTATATGTGTGCATATTAATCTTATATAGGGTGCTTTATTTAGTATAATAACATTTATTTAGTAAGAATTTTTATGCCATTATTATTGAGAAATAATTTTGAACATATGACCTCTATTGGATTGTTTTAGGAACTGCATACTGGAGGTCAAATATTGGTTTATTTTTCAATTTGTTATTTGTTTTTTCAGGAATAGCTCAATGGAATTTGAAGTATTGCCACAGAAAGTAGTTTATTTCAAAGAATATTATTTTTGTAGTCACTCAAGGAGTCCATTTCTGGAGATTATTGCTTCAATATGTCGATAATTGTTATAGAAGTTTGTGCTGTTGGATCTAAAACCTTTCAGACCATAGTTGAGCCTTTTTGGAAACCTGTATTTCTTAGTTTTGAAAGAAATATAATCCGTTGATGTTTCCTACTTACAAATTGCACAGGGCAAGTGTTGGTAGCTGATAAATCACCATTGCATGTATTTTTCTCTTAGTAATATGATTTCAATATGCCACTGAGGTAGAAGTGGGCCTCAGAAATGGGACCTAGACCTCATGCTCTGTGTTGCGAACCTTCCTCGGAGCAAGAAGTACCGAATATGGACTAGCTGTAAATTGTTAAAATAATTGTCTCCAGAAATAGTGTTACCAACTTATATATCAAATCTCTAAATACACACCCTATATATATACTAATATATATATCTCCTGTTTTTCTATAAATTTATGCAGTTTGTACTCATGGAGGCATTTGGTGTGTTGATAAGGAAGATGTGAATGGCTCACATAAACCACAGATTTGTGTTTCCTTGGAGTGTTCTGTGTGCATTTATCACCAAAAATTAAGTAAAAATATTTTTTCTAGAAGAATCGTTACGTTTGGTATTTATTGTGAAATAAATTCTTAAAATTGTTTATTCTTCGTCTATGCGTTTATTTATTCAGGCAGGAAGTTTTCATATTTTTGTTAATCGCAGTTTAAAGTGCACTTCATTTACATTTTTGGAAAAATATTTCAAAAATTTTTGGAATTTGTAAAAATTCACAAAATTTAATTTCATGAAAAATAAATGAAAATGAAAATTTTTCACTTTAAAATTTGTTCTACGGTGCTGCGGTGCGGTGTTATGAGGCTGCGTTGCCATGGAGATGCGGCATTACGGTGCTGTGGTGTTTTTCAATGTTTAATTTTGCCTTGAAGCAGAAAAAGTTTTGGTTGAAATTTTTTCGCCAGGTGGACAATGCAAACATCAAATAAAAAGTTTGACTTCATTTGCATATTTTTGTATGCAGCAAAAGCTTGAATAAATGCTAAAATGGGAAAATGCTTAAAAGCCGATTAAGTTTGCTGCAAAATAGTTAAGTTTGGAAAACAAAGGAAAATCCCTCAAAGCAGTTATAATTACTAAACCAACTTAAATAGCGTTTAGGCGAAAGTTTCCGCTGTGGAGTGCTGGGCGTTGCGTTTTTCTGTACTTTCAAGGTGTTTGAATTACTTTCGAAAGTTTCGTCGGTTTCATCGTGCATTGACAAAAATTTTATGCAGCAAAAATTGTAGAATGCATCTTTATATATACATAAATGCAGGTGGATTTTAATTTAGCAAAAGGATCTTAACTGTTTATTAGTTAAATATTTCACTTTAAGATTTGGGGCTCTTAATTACAAATGCTTGGTGCTACTAGCTCCACGAGCCATTGGCGTACCTAGAAGAACCCCATTAGGTTCTGTTCACATTCAAATTGCTTCTGCACAATTTTTAAATTAAAAACAAAATAATGGAATGAAAAGTAAAGAATTGTTTGTTTAAAATATAATAACACAGTAAGATATTGGAGGAGAAGGGGGTTAGTACTCCCCTGCCCTTACTTAGCTACGCCCATATCAAATACAAAAAATGTGTACTACTTAAAAAAGGACTATGTTTATAAAGAGGTTGGGGTCATGGAATGATTAATCACATTTTAAAGTTAGAGGTTTTCCAATTTCCAATTATATGAAACTCAGTAGCCAGTAATTGTAGCTTAATCGCATTCAGAACTTATACATGTAAGTATATATTCGCTTTGAGCTTAATAGGGACACGTCACATAAGCTGGATTGACTTCAATTAAAAACAATTATATTTATTTAGTTTTCCACTAAGAGAGAGAGAGAAAGAGAAAAAGATAAAGAGAGAAAGAGAGAGAGATAGAAAGAGATAGAGATAAAGAGAGAGAGGAAAGACAGAGAGAAAGACGGAGAGAGAGAGGGGGAGTGAGAGTGACAGAGATAAGAAAAATATATATCAATTAATTAAGTAATGTATTTGTTCAACTCCATTTTTGATATTTCTAGTTACTGTAACCAGTGTTAGGGAAAGATAAAACAAAGAGCATATAGAAAAATAATGAAAGAGGATTTTATATATATTAAGAGCGAAACTGATATAAAGAAAAGGAGATAAAAAATACATCAAACGAATAGCC